GAACTGTACTTCCAACTGTTTTAAGAGGGTCCGGATTTTGCCTCGAACCTCTTTCAAGGATTTTACTGCAAAATACCACTTATAGGCAGTGGCATCATCTACCACTGCACGGGCATACCGATAACCGAAGGAGCCATACAGTCCATTAACCCTCAACCTTCCAGTAGAGTCCATGTGCAGAGTGTGCAATGGCTCTGTTGATTTGTTTCCTATCAAATTCCTGTAGGACATTCTGCGATCCTTCATTGAGGCGCATGTACTACAAAAGAATGAAACTTTCTTGAGTTCTGAGTAAGAGAGATTAGGTAACCCCTTTAGTTTCTGATTGCTCATGCTTCTAATTAGGCGTTCTTTGCCCACATGGCCTAATCTCAGATGCCATTCCTTTAGTATGTCTCCAACTTTGCTTAGTTGAGCATTAAAAGCACTCTTTCTAGTTGGTTTCGCGCTCGGTAAGTAGTAGACTTCGCCTATTGCCACAGCTGCAAATAGCTGCAAACAGCAATTTAAAGTTCTTTCCTAAAAAGAACAGAAAATCACCTGATTTAGACTGTAGGTGTCGATAACCGTGCCGAGCAAGGTAATATGAACTGAGTAAGTTGCTATCACACTGTCGGTCAAACGAAATATCTGTCAATGATATATCACTTAATCTTCCTTTTGGAGTCAAAACGCTAAGTTTTATTGATCCTTTAAGAGAGCTGTGTGAAACAGCTCCATTACCGTAAGTGAACACGGTATTCTGGCCAGGTCGGAGCTTCCCGGTAAACCAGCTTCTGTCTGATGTTATAGCTCGGCCTGCACCAGTGTCGACCACCCACATATCATCGGTTAGGGCTAACCGCTTTAACGTTTTTAAGTACGATGCATTTTGTTTACGTACCTCAGCTTCGAGTTGGTCCATATCTTGGAGAGCCTCATTTGGGGTCTGGGTTGAGTTACCCATGTCCTCAAAATCCTCATGGAGGGCTGGGCTTAAACTCTCAATGTCGTCCATAGCCTCATCCTCCATGCACTCCTCCAACAGCGTCTTTCCGTCCTTGTTGACGTGCGTCTTGCCGTCCTTCACAACCGCTGTGATCGTGTTGATGGCGGTCGTCCTGCCCTTTTTGGCCTTCTTTGCACCTGGTGCCGTGTTAACGTCGGTGCGGAAGAGGGGTCCACCTGAACGGTTGGGGTCCCTGTTGGCAGCCATAGTCGGGCAATCCGCCTTGAAGTGTCCCGTCTGTAGGCAGTAGAAGCACTTGCCACCCTCATTGCCACCCATTTTTCGCTTTTGCCCACCATTCACCCGCATATTGTTGATAGTGATCGGGTGGGACTTATCCATAAGACCCACTTCTTTCTTGGACTTGTCTCCAATATCTTGCGCAGTGCGCTCTCGACCTGATCGATATTGAAATCGCCTTCTTCAGCGAGATCGAAGAGGCCCA